AGTTTTATTTTAAAATAATCAAAAATAGTGTTATTTGTGTATTCAAAATGAGCGCATTTGTTAACTATAAACATTGTATTAAAAGCTTTATTTATTTATTTAAAACTTATTTACATAAACGTTGAATATACAGTTTTATATTCTGTAATAAAAAATTTCCCCTGTTTTAATTAATTGATTGTCCGTTTCTTTACCCTGAAAGTCCTATAACACGCCTCTGAGACTTTGAATAATTTTCGTTTGATTTTACAATTATTATTTGCATCAATTTTATTTTTTGGATAAAAAAGAGTAAATAAGTTTTATCTTAAAATAGTAACTTAAAAATGATTGCAAAATAGACCTTTCAAATTCATTTATTAGCGAAAAACCAGAAAGTTCGGTAATGCAACCTGAGTAGTTTCGGTAACGCAACACCTCACAGTTAAAACCAAATTTCCAAAAAATCTTTTGGGTTTTAAAAGCAAAGTTTATACTTTTTAGACATTCGATTTAGTAAATATTATATCCAGCAGAAAAAATTTTCTTAAAAACGTATATAAAAAAATTTTGTTAAACGTTTTTTTTGAAAACCCAAGTACGAGATTTTAAACTAATATATTATATAAAGTTTACTTGAACTCAGAAACTTAAAAAAGCCACGATGATATGAAAAATGTCAAAATTTAGAAATGTGGATTTATTTAGTTTATAGCTTGATTTGAAGAAAATGAATAAAAAAAAACATACCCGAATGTCATTTTTATGATCTCCATGCCTAAACCCTCTTTTTCGATGCATTCGGTAATGCAACGCATTTTTTAGAACGGCTCTTATATTTAAAGTTTTTGCTCAAAATTTTTTTTTTAAATAACATATCTAAAAAGTTTAGATCTTTCTTATTGGTATTACTGAAAAAAAAATTTAAAAAATACTGAGCGGCACGGCAACCTGTGAGCCGATGACCTTGTTGCAATAACAAACAGAGAACCATATACTGATAATGATAATGATAATGATGATGATGATGATGATGATGATGATGATGATGATGATGATGATGATGATGATGATGATGATGATGATGACCATGTTTAAATTCGGTATAGCCACCTTTTCTTTGTTTTTGCGGCTTTTTCTTCGGTATTGCAACTTAAGCGTTCGTTTTTGCAACTTAGTTTCGTTTTTGCATCCACGTCGTTTGTTTTTGCAACTTCTATGTGTTTAAACTCGTTTTTGCAACCCGAAAGAGTTCAAATCGACAACGGTTGAAATAAACTTCAGTTTTCGCCATTAAACTTACTCGAAAAATCGCTGGAAGTTTGTTTAAGAAAAGTTTTGAAAGTTTATAATTGTTTCCAAAAGTTTGATTTCATTAAAAGATTATAAAAATTAAATTTATTGAGAAATATTTAACTTATGTAGTATTTCAGATAAAATGTTTTTACTTGAATACATATTTTATTATCTATTGTGCCTTATGTTGTACTGAATATATGTTCAGTCAAATTCTTAAAGCAATGATAGGTATTAAATGGTTTATAGAACTTTTTATAGAAATTTTCTATAAAACGTTTAATATTTCTTAAAGAATTTGATATGTTTTTGTATGTTTAATAATACGAAAATCTTAGTAATTAAATTTAAAGTTTAAAAATATTTAGTCAACAAATAATTATTAAAATGGTAAAATGCCACGTATGTTCTGGGGACGCTTCCCTATCTGGAACCATATGTGCCCTGTGTAACAAAATAATAGACATCCAATGCCATGGAGGAACAATTGGGGATGACTATGTTGTGTGTAAAGTATGTGCAGGTATTAAATTTTGGATGTTTTTTATTATTCATTTGTTATTAGGTTAACTAATACTTATTTCTACTAATACTATCATCATATACTATTTCATAGTATATATATACAATATAAAAGTATTCAATTGTGCAATATGTTAAAATTTTAATTCAAATTTGGATGGTATGTTAAACAAATTTAACAAATCAATGAGACTCTCGTTGATTTGTTAAATTTGTCAATAAGAGAGTCACTTAACTCTAAAATAAACATTTTTTTATGATAAAACAAAATTTAGTCGATTGCATAAACCTTTAAGCTGTATAAATTAAAAATTTGTATAAATAAAAATGAAGTTTTTTTTAATCTGCATAATTTAATTATTTCATTAACAAGGTTGTTGCAAAGTTTCCCCAACAAAAAAAGACTATATAATTGGTAGAATTTTTTCTACAAATTATATAGTCAAAAAAAAAAAGACTATATAATTGGTATAAATTTTTCATTATTTATTAGATACCAGCAATTTTTGGTATTAAGTTACTTCAAACTGGAATAGATAGTTTATAAGAAAATAAAAATTAACTGAAAAATAAAAATCCTATAATCAACTAGAAGTATTAAAAAAAATAAGTTAAAATTGACATAAATAAACTGTTTTTAAAGACACCATTTTTTGAAAAATTTTAAAAAAATGCTTCATTAAAAAAAAGGAAATGTAAACAAAGTTTAAACTTTCCAACTGAAAATTTTAATTTTTTCTGCATTAGTTAAAAGTTCTCTAGCATAAAAGATATATATATATTTTTTTTAAAGCAAAAATATCTGAAGTGTTTTTTTGTTAAGTAAATATCTAAAGCCAAATATGTTGCTGCATTAAAAAAAAATTGGTAATGTTTTATTTACACAATTTTGTTTAATTCAGTTTTTTCGGATATCTAAAGAGTTTTCCATTTATGCAAGTTAATTTATTTGTGTAATATAACTGACTCATACAAAAGTTAGGAAAAAATTAAGAAACAACTCAGCTGAAATCAAAGTTAAGAAAAAATAGAGGAGAATGCTTCTTCTCACTTACTTAAATCTATATTTTCTGGTCAGGTACAATACCAATAGATTTTAGTTTATTATTACATATTTAAAAAAAATTGATTATTGATTAAAAAAATCTGTTCTTTTACATATTTATGCTCAAAGCAATCAAAGCTTCTTAGTTAAGGCGATGGCACTCGCTTAAAAAAGAAATCTTAAAAAAAAGTATATGACATAAAAAACTCCAACTGTTTAAGGGTTTGATGATTTGTTGAATTTAATAGCCCTTGTTGAAAATAATTTTAGTTATAATTTTTTTTTATTTCAAATTAAATCTAAAAGTTTAATAAAGAACATCATAAATTTAAAAATGTGCAAATGTCATTCTGTCTGATTTTTTCTCTCTAATATTGGTATTGAGAAAATTATATATATATATATATATATATATATGCCTGTAATAGGATGGTTACAAAAAAATATAGTTATGCGGTAGCATGGTTTACATTTTTGTTTAACTGAATGTAACTCGAGTCTAGATTATGTCTAAATAAAGTGGTTAAATAACCAAAATATTGTTTTTCAGAGAAAACTTGTTTAAACTATAAAAGTTGTTTACGCATTATATGTGAAAGTGCTTTGAAATCTTTATTTTTTGTTTTAAATCTTTCTAAAATGTTTATATTTGCTATATTTTATCTAAGGAATCAAGAATTGTCAGAGGGAGATGAATTTGATAAATCATCTGGTAATCTGAGTTTAAATAATCTAAGTTTTTAATCAATTTATTGCTTTAGTCAATTTATAAATTAGTAAATTTATTCCATTTTTTTTAAAGTCTGTTAAGTATGTGTTTTACAAAATAATTATAAATTGTAAGTTTAATTTTAAAATTCTAAATTCTAAAATGTAATTTTATATTGTTTGTTTAAGCTGTTTTGTATTGATTTGTTTATTGTTTGTTGTTTATTTTAGACTGCGGTAAGTCTTTTACAGAAAATGTAATAGAAAGGCTAAAAAGATCTCAAATAGCTAGTATGTTTTCTCCATACTTGTTTTATTTGAAAAATAATTATATTTATATATTTAGTAATATTATGTTATTTTATAACAGTTACCTGCTAATTTTTTAAATTGTTTATCTCAACTAATTAAATCTAATTTTATTTTATGTTTTCTTTCTTTTTGATTTTGTGTTATAATATTTTAGAACATGAGCGTTTACAAAGATGGTCAAATCAAGAAACTGTGAGTGTTAAAAAAGAATGTGTTACAGTTGAAAAAGAAGATAAGGTTTGTTTTATTTACTTCTTTGCTTATTCAGACATAAGTAATGAAAAGTAATTAGATATTATCTAATTACTATTGAAAATAGTTATTTTTAATAAAGTAAAGTTATTTTTATTGAAAATTCAATATCATTAAAAAAATTTAAATTTTTATTTTAACATTTTATATTTTATATATCTTTTTTGAATGGATTTAATACATTTTATTAAAATAAATTGGCTGTATTTTTCAGAAATTTATAATTACAAAACTAGTATCAGAATTAGTGACAAGGGTGAGTTTTCAAATTGTTTTTATTTTTCATACTACTGATTCTCAACCCTTTAACTGCAAAATTTGACTTACGTGTTATGGGAAGTGAAAATTACATATTTATAATATACTATTTTATATAATATAATATATATTTATAAATACATATAAGAGACAACAATTTTTTTCTGAAAAGAAGCAAAGTTGTGTACTAATTTTAAAAGTTTTCGTTTTAATTTAAAAAAATTATTATAAAAAAACATTTGTTCAAAAAGGTCTTTAAAGTTAATGCAACAAAATCTAATGATCTTTTAACATATTTTTGACATTTTTTTTTATCTAATTCTATACAAACAGGTTTGTATAGAATTAGATGAAGAAATTCATTTTGACATTGAAGTTAATGATGATATCGATAAAGGGCCTATTTCTCGAAAAGAAAATGTAATGAGTGTTGAAAATAAACATGAAGTGATTAATGTTATTTTAATCTGTCATCTCTGGTTAATTATGGTATTGATATCTTTATGAATTGATATCTTTTGAGTTAAATTTGATTTTCTTCTTATCTGTTATTTTTACACTGCTTGATATAAATTATTAAAATAAAACAATGCATAAAAATATATTATTTATGCAATATGATAATATTTAAAAAAAATAATATTATTTTAATAATTACATTTTTTATAAAAAGGTTTATTCAGTATTGGATGAAAGCATTCGTTGTGAAGTTGAAGAATATAAAGTTATACATGTTGATAATAAGGATGAGGTAAATGTTTTACTATATAAGCTTATATAATAATATTTAAAAAAACAATATTTATATAATGATTACATAATATTTTTTTTTAACAGGTTTGTTCAGTATTGGATGAAAGCATTCGTTGTGAAGTTGAAGAATATAAAGTTATACATGTTGATAATAAGGATGAAGTAAATGTTTTACTATATATTTTTTATATTCAATATCTTTTGCTTTGCAATTTTGCGGTTTTTGTAGGTTTTCCAAAACAAAGTGTCTAAAGTGATGCACAAATTTCAACAAATTTACAAAAAATATTTTTATCAAATAAATATATATAAAAAATTGAACATTTTTTTATAACGATAAGAAAATAGTCGAGAACCCAAAAATGTTTGGAATTTTTTTAACCTATTTTATTAACAAAAAGGCCTAATTCGATTTCTAAACATGGTTATTAAGTAGATATACAATAAGTGCATATTAAATTATCTTGCTAAGCAAGATAATTTTTCTATATAACTTGAATTTTGCCAGTTATGTTCTATTTTGTAAGCTGGGTTTTATACATTTTTATATTTGTATTTTTCTGCTTTTTAATGATTGCTATTAGCTTTTGTCTACTTTATGTTAAAATGAAAATATATTTTAATGACTTTATTTAAATCTTTTTCAAATATATACAATAATAAAATTTATTTGTTCAGGGAAAATTGTCAGTAGCAAAAGCATTAAATTGTAGTTTGGATGGGATGGAACTAAATGTAATTTTATTTTTATTTTTATTTACTTATATTTATTTTTTGCACTACTCAGCCTGCACACTACATTTGGCCAATGTCAGAATAACGTTGGAATCATTGGGCATAATTTGTGCATGTTGGTCCAACATATTGTATATTGCTATAGTGTAGTGATTGCTGGGTGTTGACTATTTTAGCTTGTGGAAATCTAAATCTATAAATTACATTTTTGATTTTTATTGAAGTTGCTCAATAAATTAATAAAAGACCCAAATGTGGTTTATATAAACTTTATGTTATGTTGAACATTTGCATTTGTGAACTCTCTGGTTCTTTTTTTAAGGTATAAATATTTTTTTAAATAATTTAAACATTTTAGGAACATTTAAGTGATATGACCAAAGTGTATAAACGGTTTGGAAAAAAATTTGTAAGTTTTTATTTGTCATTAAAAAATATAAAAACTACCTTTTCTTATGGAGAACATTCATAACTAATTTTATTTATATTAGTTATATTGAGATAATATAGACAGTTGATACTACATGGATAATCGAAGCTATATGGACAGTTCCATAATCAGACAATAACATTAAAATATTTTTGCAAAAATATATCTATTTTTATAACAACATTTTGAATGATTACTGATTTTATGATGTTCTGTTAATCTTCTTTTTTTAATTTAGTCTCAAAAGAATAAAGAATTGAACAATGATATTCACAGGTTGACATCAAGAACAATTAAAATACTTATAAACACATTTACATAAATTTTATTGTATATAATATATTTACATAAATTTTATTTTCACAATAACATTTGTTGTTTAGTAGAGTTGCAATGAATGAAAATGAGCAAATGAAAATGGGAAGTATGTTAACAGGATTTATGAAAGTTGGTTTAGTTTCTGAGGCTGAAAAATTTTGAAAATGTTTTGAAAATGCTGATAATGTTTTTGTTTTGTTTTTTTTTTAATTTAATTAAATTTTACATTGAATTAAACAGGATTTTTTTATGCTGTTCAATTCTAAATTTTGTTATTAATATGGTAGAGTCCTGGTTATTTGAACCTCAACAGGGGATAAAAATTTACTTTAAATAGCTGAAATTTTATATAACTGATACATGAGTCTTTTAAAGAAGGTTCAAGGGGAATAAAAATTACTTTGAATAGCCAAAAATTTCAAATAAGTGATTCTTCGAATGGAGAGATTCTACTTTATATTATTTTACTTTGATTTCTTTCAAGATGACTTATTTAAGCAGAGTTTTGTATTTTTGTTATTACAGCTGTTCCAACAATGGAAAAGTAATATAAAGAGTGAAAAATGCAATGATTCCAAAGAGTCAAAAAAGTATGTCCGTCAAAAGGTTAGGTGCACAAAAGAAGACTGCGATGCATACATAATTGATCTTCCAAGACATCTAAGAAATATAAATAATATTGATCCTGAAACAGCAAGGAAAGCAAGAGGGTTTTTTGATCTAAGAAAAACAAGATCTGTAGATGAAGGTGAAAAATCTAAAAATAAAACAAAATACAGATGTCCTATTTGTAGCATTGCTACAAAAAATATACATGATCATCTTTATAGATCTCCGCATTATCTTAAAAATAATTTGCCTAAATATAGAGAGATGCTCAGCAAAAAGCAAC